GCTCCGGGCCGGGCTTTGGCGGCCGCCGGCCCTTTGTGCGGCCGAGCCCGCTCGGCCATTCAGATGGAAATGCCCCGTGGGGGCGGGCTCGGGCTCGGGCCGCAGCTCAGCGCTGCCTTTGCCTTTGCCTTTGCCTTTGCCTTTGCCTTCGCCTTGCAGAGATGCCCCTGGCGGCCCCCCCGGCGGCGGCGGAGCTGGAGCAGCGCATGCTGGAGAAGCGGGCCAAGGTGGCGGCCGAACGGCTGAGCGGGACTACCTCCGCGACCTGGACATGTGCGTGCAGCGCGTCCTCGTGCCGCTGCAGCAGGCCCAGGTGGGGGCCGGGGCCGGGGCCGGGGCCGGGCGGGTCGGTGTTCCGCCCACTCAAGCGGTGGCCACCTGCGCTGGGAGCTGAGGTCCGGCCACATTCACCCAGGGCGTGGATGTGTTTTAGGAGGAAAGGGGCAGGGAGCGCCAGGCACGGCCTCTGTGTCAGACCTGCCTGGACCTTCAGTGCTGCAAGGGCGAGAGGAGCAGGGAAACCCTGCTCGGACCCAGCCCCTCTCCGGTCCAGCCACACAACACAGGCCTGTTTGTGACTGTCAGGGCGTTGGGGCCGTGCCCACCAAGAAGAACTAACCCCCTTAGGATGGGAGGCCACTGAGAAAGCAACAACTAATTCCTTGGGACAAAAACCAGACAAAACAGGGTCAAAGTTCAGAAGGGGAAAGGGGGAGCAGAGCGCACCATGCAGTGCACGCTGGCCCTCGAATGAGTCCAAGGACCCAGTGGTCACTGCCCAGTGAAACTGCCCGGAGGCGTGAATGACCAGGGATGGGAAGGCGGCCTCGCAGTCCCTGGGGATCCCCTGGCCAGAGCCTCGTTTCTGGGCAAACGGGCTGGTTTGGCTAGGGCCAGGAGGAGGGTGGCCAGGAGGGCCCAGGACTTGGGCAGAGCCTGAGCAAGACGGACCCTGGTCTGAGCCCGTCCGTGGCAATTCCTGCATTGTTACGGGTGAGGCGCGGGGGGCGGTGGAGGGAGGTGGCTGTGGCAGGGACAGGGGCTCACAGGCACAGACATGGCAGTGGGGTCTGCGGGGCTGCGGATGGGTCCCTGCCCTGCTGAGGTCTCTGTTCCCGTCTCCCCAGGTGCAGGGTGTTGACTTCGAGGGGCTCTTTGGGAACATCCAGACGGTGATCAGCTTCACCAAGCAGCTGCTGGGCGCCCTGGAGGCCTCAGATGCTGTTGGTACGGATTCACTGCCACTTGTGCCCAGGCCAGCGGTGCTGGGGCCCGGGGTGGGGGCTCTTGATGGGTCCCTGGAGCTGGGGCATGGTGGGATGGGCAGGAGAGAGCGCTTGGGGAGAGGTGCCACTTGTGGGGGACTCTTCCTCCCCTCTCTCCTTCTCCCTGGAGAGCGGTGGGACCTCCTGTCTTGCCTGCTCGGGGGAAGCCGGGGTGTCGCATGTTGGGGACGCGCAGTGACGGCCCTGGACGGGTCAGGGGTGGAGCTGGAGCCATGAGCGTCCTGTGCTGGTGCCCCCAGGGCCGGTGTTCCTGGCCCACCGCGCGGAGCTGGAAGACGTGTACAAGGTGTACTGCCAGAACCACGACGAGGCCATCGCCCTGCTCGAGGCCTACGAGAAGGACGAGCGGATCCAGAGGCACCTCCTGGACTTCCTGGAGACCCTCAGGTGGGAGCCCCCTGCCCCCTCCTGCCCTGCCCTCTGCCCCTTGTTCTGGAGGCACCTCCCAGTATTGCAGGCTGAGATTGAGACCCCCACGTCACACTGAGACTGCCCAAAGGCCTGGGGCCCACAGGCCTCAGGCACTTGGATGGAGGAGACGGGTTGAGCCCCCTGTGGAGAATGCCTCCTGCCCTGTGCTCAGTATGGAGCTGGGAAGATCATGGGGGAGGCTACGCCTTCCTAGGGAGAAGATCTCTGACCCCCATCCTTGCCTCCTTGGGCTGGGGCATGGAGGATCTGGGCTGCAGCCCCAGCCCCTGTGGCTCAGGGGTACGATAGTGAGTCCCCACCACGGCCACACTGCCCCAACCCGAGTGTGTGCCGGGGGACGGAGCGGGCAGCAGCCGGCTGCATCGCCGCAGGGCCGAGGCACCAGCTCCAGGACTCCCCTGCTAACCAGGCGCCTCTCTTTGCTTTTCCATGCTCCGGCCTGCAGGAGCCTGTACAGCGAGTGGTGAGTGCCTCCGCACCGGCGCTCACTGCTGCCTGCCCTGCCCTGCCCCTGCTCTGGCACTAACACCCCTGCCCCGAGCCGTGCGCTTGCCTGCAGAGACCTAACCATGCATACAGAGCTGCGGGGGCCAGAGATGGGGGAGGACTCATGGGGTGGGTGTGGGCCAGGGGGCTGGGGATGCGCCATGCTGGAGGGCTCAGAGCTTTGTAGGGTCCATGGACTGTCTGGTTGGACGGCACGGATGAAGCTGTCGTGGGCCATCCTCCTCCTTCGGGTTGGTTGGATCTGGGCTGTGGGGACATGGCCACAGCCCTGGGACAGGCATCAGGCCAATGGGCTGGGTTGAGATCAGGGCTGTGAGGGTCTGTGGGGTGTTTGGGCAGAGCCGGGGGCACTGGGATCATGGCAGATGGACAGTGGAGTGGAGTCGGGGCAGCTTGAGGCTGCTGTGAGCTTGAGGTCACGGCAGAGATCTGGCAGGCAGTGAGTGCTGGGGCAGGGCAGGGCAGGGCCAGGCGAGGGTGCTGGGCTCTTGGAAGCAGCTCTGGGGGGGTCGGATGGGAGCTGGGGGCTGTCCGTGGGACCCGGCTGCAGTGCGTTGCATCTTCTCCCCACCCACCTGCCCAGGGGCTGCGCAAACTACATCAACCTGGGCTCCTTCCTCATCAAGCCGGTGCAGCGGGTGATGCGGTACCCACTGCTGTTGATGGAGCTGCTCAGTGCCACCCCTGATGGACACCCTGACAAGGCACCGCTGGCGGCCGCCGTCCATGCTGTCAAGGAGATCAACGTCAACATCAACGAGTACAAGCGCCGCAAGGACCTGGGTGAGCCAGCGCAACGGGACCGGGTCGGGGGCAGCAGCACGGCTGGAGGGAGCAGGACCGTGGCTGTGCGGGGCTGGAAGCTGCGGCAGGAGTGGAGCTGGGCCAGGGGTGGTCGCAGCAGAGGGGACGTTGGGGGGCACAGGAGATGGTGAGAGGGTCTGGGATGCAAGTGCTCGGGGCCCTGACCCAGGACCTCTCCCCCCAGTACTGAAGTACCGCAAGGCAGATGAAGACAGCCTCATGGAGAAGATCTCCAAGCTCAACTTCCACTCCATCATCAAGAAGTCCAACCGCGTCAGCAGCCACCTCAAGCACCTCACGGGCTTCGCCCCCCAGGTAGCACCCATCCCCTACCTTGAGGGCTGAAGCACACGGGCTTAATTCCCACCTACCTGAGGGCACCCCTTTGCCAGCCTTGGGTCCCCCCGCCACACTGACGCTGAGCCTACAGCTCTGTGCCCGGATCTGGGGAAAGAGGTGGCTTCTCTGCTCTCTCCCTGCTGGGGGGGTGGCGGGGGGTCAGTGCCCCTCGGGCCCTTCTTTCCTGCTGGGGGCGGGGGTTGCCTCATGGCCTAGGTGTGCCGCAGGGCTGCGGGCTCCAGCGGGTCTCATTTGGTGCAGTGCCGGGTGTTACTGGGTGGTACCAGGCTCATCACCCTCTTCTGTGCTGCAGCTGAAGGATGAGGCCTTTGAGGAGACGGAGAAGATTTTCCGGATGCAGGAGCGACTGATCAAGTCCTTCATCCGCGACCTGAGCCTCTACCTGCAGCACGTCCGGGTGAGTTGGGGCGGCTCGGAGCTGCCGGCTCCTTCAGGGGCATGGCCGGGCTCTGTGCCATTCCCCTGGGCTGACCAAGCTCTTCGGGGAGGGCTCCCTTCTCTCCAGGACAGGGGCCCTGCTCCGGGGGTCCCGTTCCCTGGGAGGGGTCGTGGAGCGCAGAGGGTTTCCCAGGCTGTGCTGGGAAGCAGCGCTGCCTGGCCCACGGCTGTGCGGGTGTTGGCGCTGACTTGCCCATGTCCCGGCAGGAGTCGGCCTGCATGAAGGTGCTGGCAGCCGGGAGCATGTGGGACCTGTGCATGGAGAAGGGCAGTGGGGACCTGGAGCAGTTTCAGAAGGTGCATCGGCTCATCAGCGACCAGCTCTTTTCCAGCTTTGTGAGTGCCCCTCCCTCCTTCCTCCTCCTCCTCCTCCCCTGCCCTGGGCTCCTCCTCCTCCCCATGGACCTGCCTGGGGGTGAGTGTGGGCAGGTTGCAGGGCTTCATCCCCAAGCCCAGGCTTGTGCTTTTACACTCTGGTCCTTTCTACTGGGTCACCCAGCTGCTCTAGAGAACGGCGAGTTTGAGTTGCGAAGGGTAACCAGGGACTGGCCAACATTGTCCAAACTTCTGAAAAACAGGAAAGAAAGAGTTGAGATGAGTGCTCGATGCCAGCGTGGCTGTGGCATTGCCCCCAGAGCAGCTGGGCGGCTTGGACATTGCCCCCTGCCCCTCTGCTGCTGGGTGCGGCTGCAGTGGAGGGACGAGTGGGGACTGGGTGTGAGGCAACCCAGGGGCCCTGCTGTCTGGGGAGGGTCTGAGCCCTGATTGCTGCCTCCCCAGAGGTTGCTACTCCCATGCTGGGAGGAGGGATGTCATGCATCCTGTGTCAGTGCCAGGTCCCCAGGCTGGAGCACAGAGGCTGTCAGAGGTGAGGGGAGCGGGGCTGTCTGCGGACTGAGTGATGAGTCTGCCGGACTTCAGTCTCTGAGAACCTGTTGGAGGAATCTATGGCAAAGCCCATTTGCACGGGTCTGGAGGTGGAAAAGCTGATCACAAGCAGCTGCAACAGTCTGTGGAAGAGATCGTGCCAAGCCAGCAGGATCTCTTCCTTCACAAAGGAATGCGGTGGGTGGATGGTGGGGACCCAGTGGATGTCGTGCAGGTCGACGTCAGCAAGGCTTTCAGCCCAGTACCATGTGGGCCTTCTCTTAAGCAAATTGGAGAAATGTGGCTCTATGCAAGCCATTATAACTGTGTCCGTGTCACAACAGCAGGATGTTTCTAGTGGAGACCAAATGATTTGGATGCTAGAATAGAGGCTTTCTTGAGCAAATTTGCAGATGACACAAAGGTGGGAAGGATTGTGAACACGCTGGAGGACAGGAGCACACCGCAGAAGGGTCTTGACAGGTTGGGAAGTTGAGCTAGAGCCATGAGAGTGCAGTTCAGTGGTGGCAAGTGCAAGGTGCTGCATCTGGGGAGGAATACAAAATGGGTAACCCCTGACTGGATGGCAGCACTGCGGAGCAGCATCTAGGGGTCTTGGTGGATCACAGCTTCTCCATGAGCCTGCAGTGTGATGCAGCTGCACAAAAGGTGAACACGGTTTTGAGATGCATCGATGGGAGCGTTAGGTGCATGATATGGGAGGTGATAGCGCCTCTGCTCGGCAGTGGTTAGCCTCATCTAGAGCACTGTGTGCAGGTTTAGGCCCTGCATTTAAAAAATACGTGGAGAAGATATGAGAGATGCCAGAGGTGGCAACCTACGTGATCAAGGGCTTGGAAGGCAAGTCACGTGAGGAGAGCGTGAGAGAATTGGGCATTTTTAGTGTGCGGAAAAAGTGATGGGGGTGGGCAGCATGATATAACAAATATCTGAAGGGCTGCCATGAAAACAGAGAACACCTTTTCTCTCTCGCTCTAGAGAGCAGGACACAGACCAGTGGCTTGAAGTTACGGTAAAGCAGGTTTAGATTGGATCTCAGGAAAACCGTCTCAGTGTCAGAGCTGGGAAGCAGTGGAACAGACTCCAGGGAAGGAGTGGTGGGCCTCCGTCGCTGGGGGTGCTCAAGAAGAGGCTGGACAAGCCCTGGTCAGGGATGATCTTAGGACAGTGGGTGGACCTGTGGACTGCAGACTATGTTTAAGGTGTTCACGGAAGATGACTGATCAGTCAGAAGTATGTGAAGACCCTCGCTTACAATTCAGAGGGGTCTGTGCCTCCATTTGAAATTCTTTAGGGATTCACAAATGAAAAATAGGTTGAAAACCCCTGCTCTGAGAGTAGCTGTAGTGTGCTGGCGCGTGCTGCAAAGAGCAGCAGCTGGGAGCTCAGGAAACCCTTTTCCATCACGGGTTCCTGGCAGATCCCCAGAAGACCAGTGCAGTCCATGGAGAGGCCTGTACTCAGCGGCAGGAGAACAAACTGTCTTGGTTAGGAAAAAGGATTGACCAGTAGGAAGAAAGCTCTCCAGGAGGGTGTGAGGGGTGGGATCCTGTTTGCTGTCCCCAGGCTGCAGGGCAGAGCGGAGGGGGCTGCTGTTTCCAGGCTGCTGGGCTTCGCTGGCTGCGCATGGGGCAGGAAGGGATTTTTCCCCTCCTATTGTTGCAGGTGTCAGGGATTTTTTCTCGCCTTCCTCAGCAGCGTTGGGTGTGGTGACAGCCCAGGCTGGGGGTGGAGGCTGGGTTGTGCCGGCTCCTGCTGGGACTAAAGGACCCAGAGTGTCTTACCTCTCTCCCCACCCCGAGTCTGCCTGGTCTCCACACCTGGGATGAAGGAGTTTTACCCCATGGTCAGATCTGTTCAAAGTCTTCCTCTGCAGCCGGGCCACAGCCTCTGCCTGCGGTCTCCATTGCTTTTTAACCACCCCCTCCCCATCCTGGCAGCAGCAGGAGACTGGCGGGGCCCTCGGCCCAGGTGTTGCCAGCACCTGCCTTCCCCCTCCCAGCTCCAGCCCCCACCCCCGCGGTGCCAGAGCACAGATGCGGTGAGCAGCCGTGCAGGGCTGGGCGTCAGGGGTTCAGGAAGTGTAAGTGCCTCCTTGTGCTGTTACCTCCCCTCTGGTAATCACTGCTAATGAGTTAATCAGGCTGAGATAATCCTGTTGCTGGAGGAGCAGCAAGAAAGAAGCCCAACTGCTGTCCTCCCAGGGAGCCCCACAGACGTACAGGCCAACAGGATCCATCCCCCCAAGCAAAGCCCCTCTGTCAGCAGCAGGGGCCGGCCCCCAGCGGGTTCAGCTTTGCCACGCGTGAGTCAGTGACCCCCGCACATCCCCATGAGTTTCTGCAGGCGATGTGCAGCCTGGAAACCTCTATCTCCGGCTGCCCGCAGAGCCAAGCCCCCCCGCAGTGCTGCCCGTCAGGCTCGGGGAGCTGCGCTCTAGCTGGGATCGCTGGCATGGGGCCGAGACCGTGGCTCCTGCTGTCCCCTGTGCAGGGAGAGGGTCTGCAGGTGTGAGCAGTGCTGGTTTGGGGGCTGTGATGGGGAATCCCTCAGTCATGCGACCCCATATTTGGACCATGAATGCTGCCCCCCCCCATCAGAGGCCCAGCAAACTCCAAAGCAGTCTGGGGGGTGTCTGTACAGCGTTTGGAGCACTTTGAGCTGTCTTCCAGTGTGGAGCAGGGCTTAATTACTGAGTTAATCTGGTTAATTAAAGCAGAGCTGGTGCTCCCCAGTCTCCTGCGCTGATGGTCTGGAAAGGGTCTCTGCAGCAACAGGCTTTGCAATTGGTGTTAAACTGGGAGAGGTGAGAGCTGGGGCTGGGAACAGGAGCAGCAGCTTGCAGCCTGTTCTCCACCAGGCACAGGAGGGGACTGGGGCGAGGGAGTCGGCGACCGTGCAGAGCTGGGCACGGTGTCAATGGGGCTGGGCTGTGGGGGCAGCAGGGGAAAGGTAGGGGCATCTTGTGGGGAGGGCAGGGGGCTGTGGCATGGCTGGTAGGAGCAGGTAGAAGGGGCGTCTGCTGTGGGGCTGGTGCTGCTGGGCCGGGCCGGGCCGGGAGGTTGCTGCACGGGCTGCAGCCCCAGGCACTGGCCTGACCCTGGGGAGACCTGTCGCTCTGGCCACACCTGCAGCCACGGTCTCCCTGGGAGAAGTATCACGAGGCCCCTTTATACATTCGTGGTGCATTCACACCCTGACTGCTGCGCTCAGCTCTGGCCCCGCACCTCCAACAGGATCTAGGACATCTGGAGAAGGTCCCGACAAGGGCAAGAGGGTGCTGAGTGCTATGGAGAGGCTTCCATGTGAGAGAGTAACAGGGCCAGGCCTGGTCAGTTTAGAAAAGAGACTCGAGGAAGACAAGAGAGGGGTTTGCAAAGTAGTAAACGGTGAAGAGAAAGTCACTAGGGATTTATTCTTTACCATCTCTTAACACAAGAACGAGGGGTCACAAAGAAACGAGCAGGTAGTAAGTTTAAAACGAACACCAGGCAGTGGCATTGAAGGGTAGGAGCTCACAACTACTAGGTGCATTGGAAGCTGAGAGCTCAGCCAGTCACAAGGGGTTGGACATGTGCTCGGAGGAAAGGGGCATCGGTCACTATTAAGTGAGGGGCACGGCCTCCGCATCAGAACGTCCTGGACCTTCAGTGCTGGAGGCTGCCAGGCAGAGGGGAAGGGGGGAAACCCCTGGCCAGACCCGGGTCACTCCCTTTTGGCATCCACTCTCTGCCACCGTGTCACGCAGGAGACCGGGCAAGATGCACCTATGGTCTGAGCCAGTAAATAGCAGTTCTTAGGTTCTCGTGAGTCAGGTGGCTCAAGGCAGGGCCAACTGGTGATTGTGGGGCAAGGAGAGGCCGACACAGCTGAGGGAAGGGTGCAGGGCACCAGGGTCTCTAGTCTAACCCTCTGCCCTGAGCAAGTCTGGTGCCAGCGGGACGTTCCTGATGGGCTGCAGCTGCAGATGCTTCCCCTGGGGATGGCTGAGACCCAGCAGGCAGCGGGGAGCTCCCTGGAGAAGAGCTGCCAGGGGCGGCACTGCCCTGGGGAGCCCTGGCTGGCAGGGCACAAGCCCCTCAGCCCCAGACATGTGGGGGGGGGCAGCTGGAGTGACCCACGTCCCATGTGTCGCCTGCAGAAGGAGAGGACAGAGCAGCTGGTTATGGCACCCCTGACACAGCTGCTGAGCATGTTCACGGGACCCCACAAGCTGGTGCAGAAGCGCTTCGACAAGTTGCTGGATTTGCACACGTGCTCAGAGCGGGCCGAGCGCCTGAAGGACAAGCGGACGCTGGAGGAGCTGCAGTCGGCCCGCAACAACTACGAGGCGCTCAACGCCCAGCTGCTAGACGAGCTGCCCAAGTTCCAGTGCTTTACCAAGGAGCTCTTCGCCGGCTGCGTGCGGGGCTACGCCACGGCCCACTGCGACTTCGTGCGCCTGGCCCTGCAGGAGCTCAGCCCTCTGCTCTCAGTGAGTGGCAGGGCACGGGCGTAGGGGGTTGCCCTGGGCTCCTGCAGACACTGCCGTGCCCCGGGGCACATGGGGACTCTGCAGTTTATCCCCCTGCAGCTGGGCCGTTGGCCCCTGAGGTTGCTTCTGTGGGGACCCTCTCTTCCCTGGGGCCCCAGTGCAGCTCACGGTTGGAAAGCACTGGATCCACAGGCCTGGGGCTTGTCCCCTGCCCCCAGAGCTGAGCCACGTGGGCAAAACCAAACTGCCCTACCCTGCTGTGCTCAGGGTTGGAGGGGGGAGCACCTTAGGTGGCAGCAGACATTGGGCAGGAGCCATATGGAGCCTGGAAGGAGTTAA